CGCAGGAGGGCAGTGGGAAGAGGCCGCCCTGGACGAGTTTGATCGCCTCACCCGTTGTGCCGAGTGGAAGCCCCTGCTGGCAAAGATTTCCAGTTACGTCCAGTCCGGCGTCTGTACCTGGCCACGCATCTGGCTTTATGACACCAGCGGCGGACAGGTGAGCGCTGGAGGCCAGGCTGCCTGGCAGGCTGCGTTCTCCCCTTACGAAGTCAGCGTTTACTGACCAGGGGTCTGTATAGCAGCATGCAGCAGGGCTGCCTCCGCTACCCCCGTGTGGCCTGTTGCTACGTATCGTTGGGATCAAGATCCGAACTCCTGTGTCTCTCCCCCATCGGTATCGCTCCCCAGATCACCAGTGCTGCTTCCTCTCTGGCTCCTGCCCCCCCCCTCCCTGAACTGCACCCCCTTAGAGTCCCTCTGGGCCAGAGTCTGCCTGCAACTCTCCAGTGCCTTCCTGTTTCCCTTCAGAGCCTTGACATAGGGGAGGAGCTGGTCCGGCTGGGTCACGCTGTGTGGTGTCGGCAGGAGGAGGCAGATGGAGCAGCAGACCACGGCTGCAGCATCCCAGAAGATGCTGGAACTGCCCCTCTCTGTGGCTCAGGGGAACGCTGCAGAGACCTCCCTCGAGAGCCTCCTATCCGAGACCTGTGTCAGCCTTTCAGGTACGCAGTTGTGATCACCTGAAGCAACCAGCCCTTCCTGGGGGCGGCTGCTCTGACAGATTCTGTCTGCCTTAGGGTTGTATCTTGCTTCCTGTCACTGCAGTGTCTGGGCGCCTTCCACATCCCATCAGTAGCTAAATTTCCTGATAGGGATGTTAAAATGCAGGTAATTTATGTACACCTGTAACCACTGAAAAACTCAGTGGTTACGCACACCCTAGCCAGCTCCCTAGGAGCCGGTGCATGCTGCTCCCAGGTACCACGCTGCCATCCCGCACTGTATTAGAGGCAGCAGTGTGGGGGCAGCCAACTCCCCAGGAGCAGGGCGGAAACTTGTGTGTAACCGTGAACGTTAACCAATAAGCTTTGGCTTACATGGTTATACATTCACATCCCTGATCTTTGGTTCCTCTCCGTGTGCCACCTCTCCCGATGCCCCCAGAGACGCCAAGAGCTTTTCTTCTTTTGTAGGAGAAATGATTCTCCACCTCTGTCCACATGAATGGGGCAAAAAAGTTGACCCTCTACTCTAAGGAAAAACAGAATCAGCCGGTTCAGGCCTGTCACAAGTTTTGTGTCAAGGGTTTTCACAAAATTCAGCATGAATTTAATGATGGCATAGAGCAGCGGTGGGCAACATGTCTTCCTGGGAGGGGAAATTTTCCCGGCTCCGTGGGTCGTGAATGAAAAATGATTGAACATAGAGAGGACGCGTATTAAGTTTGCAGATGATACCAAGCTGGGAGGGGTTGCAAGTGCTTTGGAACATAGGGTCATAATTCAAAATGATCTGGGCAAACTAGAAAAAGGGTCTGAGGTAAACAGGATGAAGCTTAATAAGGACAAATGCAAAGTGGTCCACTTAGGAAGGACCCATCAGTTTCACACATGGGAAGTGGCTGTCTAGGAAGGAGCCCTGCTGAAGGGGACGTAGGGGTCCTAGTGGACCATAAACTAAATATGAGTCAACAGTGTGACGCTGTTGTTAAAAAAAGCCAACATGATTCTGGGAGGCGTTAACAGGACTATCGTAAGAAAGACACGAGACGTCGTTCTTCCGCTCTACTCTGCGCTGATTAGGCCTCGGTTGGGGTTTTCTTCTGGGCACCACATTTCAAGAAAAATGTAGAGAAATTGGAGAAGGTCCAGAGAAGAGCAACAAAAATGATGAAAGGTCTAGAGACCATGAGCTATGAGGGAAGCCTGAAGGAATTGAGCTTGTTTAGTTTGAAAAAGAGAAGACTGAGGGGGGACATGAGAGCAGTTTTTAGGTATCTAAAAGGGTGTCACAGGGAGGAATGGGGGGAAATTGTTCTCCTTGGGCTCTGAGGATAGGACAAGAAGCAAGGGGCTTAAACTGCAGCAAGGGAGGTTTAAGCTGGACATGAGGAAAAACTTCCTCACTGTCAGGGTGGTTAAACACTGGAATAAATTGCCTGTTGGGCGGGGTGGGGGTGGTTGTGGAATCTCCGGAGATACTCAAGAGCAGGGTAGACCAACATCTATCAGGGAGGGTCTAGCTAGTGCTTGGTCCTGCTGTGAGGGCAGGGACTGGACTTGACCTCTCGAGGTCCCTTCCAGTTCTAGGATTCTATGAATTGGACTCTCTTCACCTCGCTCTTTTTAAACTAGACTTCTTTGGCTGGGGGTGCGGACAGGAGGGAGGTTCACTAATTCCTCTGCAGTGTGTAGCCCTAAGAGAACACGGTGCCAAGTGTGTAGGAACTAGAATCCAGTCAGTCAGCCTCCCAGGCAGTGTTCTCTAGTGGGGAGGGCGCGGCATGAAGACGGAAGGCTATAGGTTCTGGTCCTGGTGCTGCTACTGACCTGCTCTGTGGCTTTGGGCAAGCGACTTCTGTCCCCAAGTTTCCCTTCCCCCTCCCTCCTCTGTCGACAGAGCAGTGACTGTCTCGTGTCTGTGCTGCAGTTGGCCCGGTAGAGCCCTGATCTCAGCTGTAGCTTCTGGCATTGCCCTAATACAGGGAACACTAGTTCTTCTTCGAGTGATGGCTCATGTCCATGCCATGTAGGTGTGCTCAGGAGATTTTCCCTTAGTAGTTCCCGTTGAGCCAGTGGGGGAGCCCCCTGCAGGGGTGCTGCTAGAGGGGTGCAGATGCACATACCTCTGCTGGCCCTCCGCCCCCTCGGGCAGTAGCAGGGACAGAGCAGAGAGGGGCAGGGGAGGAGGGCGCAGGAGGGAGTATGACTTTCCGGGCACTTGTGTCCACGTGAAAAGACGCCACGGCCCTGCCCCCCACGTAACATGCGCCTTTGGCTTGGTAGATGACTCCATTGAGCAGCTCCGAAGCGACACTGAGCCCACCGAACCGCCCTCCCAGAAGACCTTCGCGCCCCCACCCTGCTCCCTCAGAGCCTCAGCTCCCGCCCGCCTTCCGGGGGACTCGGAGGCCCTCGCTTTGCCAGCTGGTGAGGAGACGCAGACAGGCCCAAGGGGCTGCAGCAGTGAGGGGGCGTCTGAGGCTGTGGGGTCTCTGCCGGCTGCGGCAGGTGCCAAGTGGACGTCCAGTCCTGTCGATCGCTCGCTTCCCGCAGCCGCCTCGGGAGAGGCCTCTCTCATCTCCCTCACAAGCAACGGCAGCTCCCCTGCCGCCCTGCCCTCTGGGGACAGCAGCTGCTACTCCCTCCGGGGCTGCTTCTATTACCTCTCCACTTCAGAAGACTGGTCCAGCTCCTCCGTCTTCTTCAGCGGCTCGGGCTCTGCCAGCGGGTCCCTCCAGAGCCTCATCCTCATCAGCGCCCCTGGCAGCGAGGAGGAGGAGGAGGCGGGGCTGAGGGCCTGTGAGAGAGGTACAGAGGGCACCCTGGATGGGCAGCCTGGGCACTGCACTGTGGTCTGTGGGATCAGAAGCACGAGGAGTGTAGATTGCTGCTGCTCAGGCCCCCTGAGATGCAGGGGTGTCCCGTGCGCTGCCTTCCCCCCCAGCTGCCGGGGGGCAGAGATTCTCACAGGGTGTGGCTGTTTGTCCCAGTTGGTGCTTTGTCATTGGCT